GGGGGGGGGGGGGGGGGGGCCCCCCCCCCCCCCCCCCTTCACGGAAAATTGACGAATTTTCGGAAATTTTGACCTAAAAGAGGGCTAAAAACAGTCTTTTCGAGTGCAAATGGGGGGTTATGTCGGAAATTTGAGAGTTTTGTCGGAAATTTAGGAGGCTTTGCCCCCCCCACCGGAAAAAGTGAATTTCCCCCACCGTCGCGAACACATCTTGTTGACAAGTTGTGAGATAGCTAGTTGTGAGATTTTTTCATTCGTATTACAAGTGCACACGTGGCAAAATACCACCTGTTCACGTGGCAACGAGAGTCCAAACAGGAGCCTGGCGTCTAGTTTATGAGTTAAAGGTGTTTTATTAACATATTTGCTTCATACACTTTCATAAACTATAAATTGTTGATGTTTGACTGCAAAAATTTTATGGATATATTTTGTCGATTGCTGTAATTTTACCTTTGGTGGATTCTATGTTAAATTTACTACAAGTGGATATGAAATGGGCGTATATACTGCGAAAATAATATGAAAATTTTGGTTCTAGAAAGAGGTGAAATTCGACGTGCAATCGATTTTAACAACGTCAACTTACTGTCAAGTTATGATTCGACAAACGAAGTATTTTTTGGCAACTTGTTGTCTGATAGCGCTTGGGGTGATAATATATCGCTTTTCAAGTCTTGGAAGCAACCTATATATGAATTCAAAGGTGAAAATTTATAGCTTTAATCTTGGCAAGAATGCTGTCACCATAAAGCAAGACGGTCAAGTAGAGAATGTTGAATGGACAAAAGACTCGGCAATAGATGACAATGATAATACTGTAAAGAAATTACCTACTAATAAAGATACAACTGATATGATAGCTAAACCAGACAATAATAGACCGCATAGACCACATAGAGTCGCCACTAAGACACCAACTGTATATCGAACAACAAATAAAATAACTACCGTTAAACCAACAACACGCAAAGCAACACAGAAGCCAGTGGTGACGTTACCACCATTAACAAAAGCAGCTGCTACTAAAAAGGTGGTACTTTTGACAACATTGAAAGCGCTCATACCCGTGGTTAATGTCAAGTCTGGTGACCTACCCCTGTGTTCACATGAGGGAGAAAATTTAGGTAAGGGTTCATCAACAATTATTCCATGGGGTTGGTCCCACTGATCTTACAGACTAGCATGCTATGGGCACCAAATATTACCATTTGCGAGCTTCCATGAAGCGTGAATTTGAAACTACGTTCCCTAAAGTTTGTCAATTCAAAATGTTTTGTTTTGCTCTTAATACGTTTGTATGTGAGGTATGAAACAATTAGCCTTTTCCTAAAAGAGATCACAGTGCATTCTGGGATTGTTTGGAGGGACAAAATATATGGTGACAGGCATCAAATATGTGAAAGTATCTGCTATCAAATATCAACTTTTTAGACGACCAAAAATGAAATATCTTCTTTTTACATTAAACATTTAATTTAGGTGTGTGCTGCCATATTTCTTGTCCCTCCAACATGGGATTTGCGCGACTACACCCTGGACTTTGGGAAATGGCTAATTGTTTTACATGCGAAACGTTTAGTTTGAAATTCGAAACTACACTGCATTTTGTATATATCTGTAAAACTTGCATTCAATATTTTTTCCTTTACTGGAGCTATTTTGCCCATGCTATTTTGGGGCATGGGAATGTAAAAATTTCACATGCAAAGTAAGTGTATTAGGATGTCCAAAGGGGCTAGGGGGGGGGGGGGTTCACTTCCAATTTCCTTTGTGGGAGTGGTATGGAATGACCCAATAGAAATTAAGTTGAAATGTAAATACGGTTGTTTTTTAGTCGGTCCTCTGAGGGTTGATCAAAGTGTACCTGAAACTGAGGCGAATATTGAGGATGTGTGGGATGTGAAAGGTTGGGTTGAGAAAGGAGGGGCCTGGAGACCAACAAAATGTCAGGCTATTAGTAAGGTATGTGAAGAAATAGCCGACAACCATGTCAATATAATACTTTATGCCAAACACTGTACAATCTTACTACAGAATAGAAGGCCCTCTATACCCCCGTGCACGAAAAAATCACAAAATACTTGCATACAATTTGGTCGAAATATAAACAAAATTCACAGATTAATATATAAGTGTCGTACATCATCAAGTACTTGCTATTCCAGTGCAGAAATGTTTGAGGCTCAACGTCTTGGTCACAAGACAGTTTCCTATTCAATCCTAAGAAAACTTTTCATGCAAAATGAATGACTCACAAGTCATGCTTATTACCATCCTTCATTCACAGATCATGGTTAAATCAAAACTTTCTTTTACACATTATTAATAAATTAATAAAATCATCAATCACATACTTTCACAGCTAAATAAAATAACGGTTAAAATGTGTGAAAATCTATTAAAATTGATACATTTTAACAACATTTAGTTCTCAAAAATACCTAAAATACAATGCATTTTTTGTAAGCACATTTTGAAGTTATGAATTTTGCTTACAGGCAATATACCTCGCTAATTAATACACATTCAACTATATTTAATTAATTTCAATTTTAGGTCGCAATTATAATCCCGTATCGAAAACGTGAGCAACAGCTAAAGATATTTCTACGTCATATGCATCCAATGCTTAAACGTCAATTGTTAGACTACAGGATTATGGTTATTGAACAGGTATTTCAATGCACATCATTTAGAAACACTGTCAAACCATGGGCAGATTTACTGTTGGGGGTGGGGGGGTTAGGGGGGTTGACCCCCCACCCCCCTAGAATCTCTCTAACCCCTCTTATAAAGTGTTCAACCCCACCAAAATTTTGCCTCACCCCTCCTA